ATATAATATCGCGGTAATTAATTGACGTCACACCTTATACACTACGGTATAAAAACTGGTTGTCGCATAAGTTTCGTGGGTCGTTCGTTCAGCTGAGTTCTGCTAGCAACTATTTGAAAGTATTCTATGTTTAAATATAGGGTGTAAAGAAAATAACAGACTGATTCAATAGTGATCAATTTACATTGCCTTGCTCGACCTCGCTATCAGAGACAGTGCTTCGGAAAGAAGCCTGGTGCGTTTGCCGAAAAGCAGGATTAGTGATTATGCTACCTCCGTCTGTGGACAAAGCTTCGCTGCTTCCTGTTCCACCTCCCCGCCCACTCTAAAAACACATGACGCTTCTATATAGCTTCTATATACTTGCAACTTAATCTTTTTTTTTCTCTCTCTCTCTTTCTCTCTCTCTCTCTCTCTCTCTGTTTCTCATTTTAACTTTATTTTTTCATGAATCGTGAATCGCAAGTCTCGCGAACACCCCAAGAATATTAAATTTCTACGCAACAGTTCTATTCGAGGGGGGAAATATACATTTTACTTTCGTCGAAGGAATTTCCGAATTATTAAATAAACAGGTATTGGTAAATAACACGGTGTTTAGTCTAATTATTTCGCGCAGTGCGTTGTGTTCGTCTAAGCTCTTGGGCAATACTTATCGTTTGGCAATATCACGTAATAACAACTTCCATGCATATTTTATGTATACCTGTGTGTTAGTCGGATACAACACCCATCCGTCCGTCGTGATGAGATATTATTAAAGAATCAATTTCCTTATCGCTATTTCATTGTACAGAGTAATTCACCTTCATCCCCTACGCTTTCAAATTTTCCATACTTTCGTGTTTTTCGATCGATTTAAATTGTTTAATTAATATGACTTTCTTCTACTTTGTATCCTTTGAATACATACTTGTGCATGCAGTTCTTTAATTCAATCGATCTTAGTTAATTTTCATTTCTGTGTTATTTTTATTAATTGGGAAAATATTAATAAGGCGTACAGATTGAATCTAGCAACTATTAATTTTAACTGAACGATAAATTTGTAGAAAATTTGGGAAATGAATTGGCACACATCGTCTGAAGATTGCATCACAGTATCTAATAATAATAAATTTAAACTAAGTAAGAATAGTATACATACTTGTAAATAGATCACATGTGTGTACTGTTGAATCTGAGAAATATTATTGTCTAACAACCCTAATTAATCCTTGAAAAAAAAAAAAAAAAACCGAAAAATATGAAAGCGTAGGTGATGAATGACACAAGAAATCCTGCAAGAATAGCAACTAATAAGTATAATAAGCTTTATAAGTATCGGACTGTACGCGTGAAATGTAGACAGAAAGTGGGACCATAAAGAAAGAGACACCTCTGTTACCTTCGTGTGTAACAAGGTAACGTTCTGACGGAACTCGTTGCTTTTACCTCAGAATCAAATGATGTTAGCCTGCTGAGGAACTTTCCTTTTTTGGTGAACATATCGAGGAACATGTCAGTCGTCGATTGTCCTCCTCCTTCGTTCGCCGGTGGTTGATGACCGTGTGACGTTTCCAAATGAACTTGAGGCGTTTCTTCAAGCAATAATAATTATTATTTTAGAATCCATTAATCCGTTAGTTAGTTAAGTAATAATTATGGTTTTCGAATGCAAATTTAGAATATCAATGAACTATAATGTAATACAGAATACGCTCATGCTCGCATCGTGCTGTATTTTTCTATTCAAAGAATTCCTAAGAGGATTAGAATTAGAATTAGAATCGTTGGTATATAGGTATAGTAATTGGAATTTTTCGAAAGTTGAATTTTGTATTCAATTTATTCTTCTTTTACCTGACTTTTGAGACGCGTCTGAAAACTCAGGCTGCGTAGGAGATTGCGGGGACCTTAAGTTTTCCCTGCTGCCAAATGGGCTAGATGTCTGAAAGAATTGTAAAAGACGATACAGAATTGAATTATAACCAGATAGAAATTTGTTTCTAGCCAGAAAAGTATCTCACTTTGGCTGTTTTATATATTTTTGAATTTTTCAAAAATACCTAAACATCTGTAGTCCAATTATTATATCAATAAACCCTCATTCCTCGTTTTGCTAACTTAGTGTTAAATTGGCACTAAGTGAAAAATCGAACGACGAAAAGATAAACAATTAAGTTTACAAATCCTTTGGCTAAGATTAAATTTCAATTTAATTGCGTATGATCTAACTTCAGATATATATGTTCAATTTTATACGGTGATCTTACACATTTCACAAAAATGTGTCAGACACAAGGTCTATGATTAAATTATTTGCAACAAGTGTTACGTACTTGAGACATTAGAGAACTATCGAAACCACCCTCCGAAAGGTCCTTGCTCCAATAATGTGTGTGCGCGATCTCCATTAACTGAAAGACTGACGCCATTCCGCCCAAACCGAAGTTATTGTAAGTGTGTCCAAGACCGTGAGCCACTGCTTGAAGGCACTTTAGCATCCCTTTGTAAACCGGCTTCGAGATATACTGCCGAAAGGAAAGTGAAAGTTTTCGTGAATTCGTTGAACATGCAAACGAATTTGTTAACGTGATAGTTGTCGATCGTTACGATGAGCTCCACTCACCACGTCGTCGATATGATCGTCAGGACTAATCTTTTTGTTAAGACCTTTGTTCAACTTCGTCACCACCAGATCTCGATAGCTCTCATCCTCCATTAATTTCTTCAGCCTGTTCAGTTTCAGCCAACCGACACCTTCGCCGATTAACACCTGATTCACCACCTGAATGAAATTCATAGAATTCGTAAAACACATCTATTATTCCTGGTAAATTTAATAAGAGAAAAATGGGAGCAATAGAATAATATAAAAAATTAGTCGTTCGAGTGAAGGTTGCAAATAAGCAAAAATTAGCAAAAATTCCAATGTTTATAGCTTCCTCGAAAATAATGTTAATCAAATTTCAATTCCTTGAATCCGATACGTTTTGTCTTACAATTGTTACAATTACAAATCTTCAATCGGTTATTATTGATAATTTTGTGGTTCATTGTTCGTGTTCCAAATAAACTTTGTTATTTATTTGATTTATTCATTTTATTATAAATTAATGCTAATATTAGTTCCGTGCAATATACAGGTATTCTTTAATCGATAAAAACAGAACTTACGTCGGTGAGGAAAGCTTGATTGTCGCTGTTTGTACTGGACCTCTCAGCATTCTGCATCCTTTGAATGTCTTCCTGGCTATTCTTATTCGTCGAATGTTTTATCAATGACGAACGTTCAACCAGTCCTGTTTTAGCTAAATAAAACGAACCAGTCTTACTGTAGGATTATACGTTAATTTTAAGAGGACGAGCTAATCAATTGAAAGGATGATAAATACTTTTAGGGAAAGGCCCGAGTATTGGTGTCTTTCTGTCCGCCTTTTGCGACTGAAGGAGGCCGGTATTTCGATTAGAACTACTTTTACTACCTGCAAATTTAAAAGAAAAAAAAAAAAAAAGAATGCGTGAAAGTGAATATTTTGAAATATAGAAGATCACGAAAATAATCGAATCCTCGACTAGACTCAATATATTCAGACTAATATAATCGTAATATTCGTATTTCGTTGCTACCTTAAAATTTATATTTAATAAATAAATAATTAATTATATTAATTAAATTAATATAAATAATTATATATAAGTAAATACAAGGGTGTTCTGCAATAAGAAAAAAAAAAAATAAAATATCATGTAGCAAATAGTTATGTCAAAATGCTGTATATAATTTTTTTTTTTATCTTTCTTTACATTTTGTTCTTTTTATAAGCAAAAGAGAGGATAGGATGAAACGTACCAAACAGATCGCTAAACATGTTGCTCGTTTGCGTAGCAATGCCGTTTAAATCACTACTAATATTGCTGAAAAAATCACGTCCGATATCTCGGCGCCCTCCGCGATTATCCGAAGCGACCAATTGCGTGCTACTCGAATCCCTTCGTTGTAACATACCAGAAGGCGATGGGGGTGAATGCGTATCGCCAAGACCCTAAACAATTCCATTACACCATGTTTCTTTGACTTTTTCTAACGAGTAACATCCTATAGAATTTCGATTTCTCGAGAGAGATCTCCCACTTTTTTTCATTTCAAATGGAAGCACTTTCTTTGAAAAAGATAATCTACTTTCAATACATTCGTATTATTTTCTTAAAGTTTTTATTTGGAATCTCTTTGAAGCTTCTTTGAACTCTTAGTGCAATTTCTTTAGAGTCTCCAGGAATAAAAGAATCGATCCAACGGATATCGAAATCCAAAGAGATAGATTTAAATCTAAAGAGAAATGCAAAATCTCACGGCATCAAACTTAGGACGTTGGTAAGATTGTTTATTAATTGGTAGTGAAACAACGTGCCTTGAGTAAACCTTTCTTCGTAGCAACCTCTTTGGCACTTTTCGTCAAGTCTCCGAAAGTGCTCTTGCCCACGTATGTCAAATCGTCGAATGTATTTTTACTGACACCAGCTGCTGTTTTGCTCGCCTCCAGGGCGGTTTTTGATACTTCCTGAACCGATTTCGTTGCTTCACCCATGGCTTTTTTCGTCTGTTGCGTCAACTGTTCAATATTTGTGAAAGCAAATGAAATATTTAACATTCAATTTTTAACTAACAAATATTTGACAAACGTTTGATTCGATTACTAAGACATTCAACTTAACTATCAAATGTTTAATATTTAATTAAGTAATATTTAAATATAATAATTACGTATTTAATTATCATAAGTATTATTTTAAGACTTACTTGTTCCAATGGCGCGAAGAGACTATCCTCCCCAGCCTCTGTGATCTTCTCCTTCGCCTGATGTTTCAACTATCAAACAAACGAATGTTCTTTTTGAAAGCAGCCGCAATCGTATAACAGAGAAAACTCGAAAAAATTTAAACAAAGTCTTTAAGGAAAATAGACATAAAGGAAGTTGTAATTCGTATTTAAAGTATTTAGAATTAACATGATTATTATCTACAATTCTAACAATTTCAACAAAAAAATAATATTTGACGAAAGTATTAAAATATTGCCCCAATTTCTATTTAAATCATATAGCTTTCCAATGCAAATCATCCACTTCATCAGAATTACAAACGATTATCAAAATTTAATTATTCGTCTATTATCAAGATTTAAGAACTAGCAAAAAAATTCCAATCCTTCGACAAAATTCTGTTACATCCAGAATTCCGTGATTTTCGAATGATTCGCAATGCTTAAAATCGCAGAAGTACCTTGTCCATTTGAGCAAGGAGTCCATCCTGACTGCTCTGTCTTGTAGTCTCACGGACCAAATCCTTCGCCTGGTTCGCTATTTGTTCGAACAACGATCCTTGAGAACCTTGTCTCAACACACCGTTTCCAGTGGCACTGGAACCTTGTCTCTGTACATTCTCAGCTTGTTTATTAGTACCGAAGGATAATTGTCGGGAGGCTGTTGACGATTCACTTTCGTTGCTGCTATTGCTGCTCGTCTGTCGAGAAAATGGCCCTGTTCCGCTTGACGCCCTGGCTAAAACGTTCCCCACACTTGGGTGACGCTGGAGACTCGCTGCACTTGGTTGAATCTTCGAAATAACACAAATGATTCAATACCATTAATTATTATCAGGATATTTCAAGAATTTGTCGAAAAGATTTGTAAAAGATACATTTATTTTATTTAGAAAAGGATCTTTTTGAATGAGAGACAGGGATGTCTTCAAATTTATGTAGTTATATTTGAACATTGAAAGGTGGAATATATAACAGGGATAGGTTCTTCTTTAGTTTAAGGGAATGATATTTTAATTGGAAATTTTTCCAAGTTCCAAAATGGGATGATATTGATATAGATTTTCGAAAGCAAAAGTATCATGCGCTTGATTTACTATTGAAACAATAAAAAAATGTAACAATGAACTACATCAGTATAAACCTCATCAATGAAACATACAAATAGTGCATATTTTTTTTGAAAGGGATTTTCAAAAAATATTTAAATAAATTTTGAAAGAAGAAAAAGTGACAGAAATTTTTATTGTAAAAATATAAAATAAATAAATAGAAAGCTAGAGGAGCTCGCTATACTTGAGAAGCGTAGAAGAATAAAGAAAAAAGGAATCCTGTTCAATAAACATTAGAAAAATGTGTATCATGAAATCCAGAAAGAAGAAAAAAGATAGAGAAAAACAGAAAAAATTTAAATGACAGGATTCCAAGGAAGAACTAAATCCCGAAAGAAAGAAACAATGAAAAAGTATAGAAAAACAGCATAGAAATCTAAATCAAAGATTTCAAAAAAAAAAAACAGAAAAAAACGTAAAAGAAAAATAAAAGTAATCTGTACCGATTCTAAAAATTCTACGAAAAATAAAAGCAATTTATGTCTAAAAATTCTATTAAAAAGATAAAAAGAAAAAAAAAGTTTAACCACTCTTGAAACGAATCCTTTCAAAGAAAAAAATTCCTAAGAAGCAAAATTCAAAGAAAATATCGAGAATCGCAGAAAAACACTATCGCATCCAAAAAAAAAAAAAAA